ATTATTCCAAAGAGGGAAGAAATGCCCCCCCATGCAAGGGGCCCCTGGTTCACTCCATAGGGTTAAATACTGACTGAGCTGGCCAAGGGTAGACACTAGATGCAGTCCAGTAGGACTTACTGCACGATTCTGAGTAAAATATGAATAATGGTTTGTTCAACCAGAATCAAGATTGTGGTTTTCTGTCACAACTGCTGAGCAATACATTACTCTCATTATTATTATTATTATTATTGTTATTTCGGATTACATACTGTCTTCATGAAGAAGTTCTGTATTGGTGGACAAAGGACTTTGTCAGCTCATTCACCACTTAAGAGTTGTCATTTACTGTCAAGCAACATGCTCGTAATCAGAGGTGGATCGTGCAGGTCTAGAAAATAAAAATCCAGACTAAGATTTTATTTCAACTAACCAGATGAGTATAAAGAGCTATTGGCACAGAGTGTTCAGATGGTTCGTTGAAACAAAATCTTGGATTTTTACTTTCTGGACTTGAACAATCCACCTCTGCTCGTAACACAATATTAAGTTTGGCCAGCAGATTGATTTTTAATTTTCCACAGAATAAAAAAACTATGTAATGTCATCCTGCTAATCTGCTCCTGCAAGCCTCACAATTTTCAACCCCCAGACAGTGGACAAAAATATATTGGCTATTGTTGCCACAAAATGATTGTTAGAGAAACACATTGTGCAGAATGAACAAAGCTGCTAACATGGATACACATTGTACTAAATCCAGTTTACAGATATTACTATTTTTGATCATGGGTTTTGTTCATTTTAATGGTGTACAAGACAAATTTGTTTTTCTCTCCATAGATAATACATGCTACTGAGTGATTAATTTGTATTTGAATTCTATAGTACATAGAGAAACTGCTAATGCAGTGGAGATATCATTGTATTAAAATAATTATGTTCTGCAATCTTAAATTAAATGAAACATTTGACCCTATCATTAGCCAATGCCTCTAAAAATCTGTTGCTTTTAGTTTTCAACAGATTCAGCATTTATCTTACACACTGTACCAGAGTAAACATATGAGATTACAGTTGACTGGAACAAAAATAACATTTGGCTGAAGATACAAACAAACAGAGCCCAAGTGGAACAGTGTGTAAGCAAGGGCAGATTTACTAAAAATGTCTCATTGTTTTTTAAAAGATCACAAGATCGGGTATACTGACATCTCTATTTAGCACTTTTCCAGAAAGAGGCATTGATATAAATAGCATGATTTGTTCCTTAACATACCTGTAAGAGTGAAAACATGCATTTTGTTTATAGAGCTGGAAAATGCCAAACATCAGCTTTTATACATTTACTGTTTCAAATGAATGATTGTACAAACACTTAAGTTTTTCTAACATTCCCAAAGAAAACAGCATTAAAAGGCAATCATTCATATTTATCATCATTCAAATAAAATCCATATGAATATTAATATATTTATATATTCATAATTACATAGGTAAGTAGGTAGTTTACACCCTCAGTAATATAAACAAGTTTTAAAGCATAAATGCTTAGTAAAACCCTGTCCCAGAGCAATTAGTAAACGGCTGGGGACTGATCTTTGACCTCAGAACAGTCTTTATGTCTCTAACATACAGCACCTGTAACCGTTTATTGAGAAAAAACGGCAGGGAGGTGGTAAAGAATTACAAATATATAAATATGTGGAAGCAAGTATGAGAGATCCTAGATGGCACAGCATAAGCCCTTAAATGAAGTGACAATAAAAAGCAAAAGTCACAGATGTGCCAAATGGAAGTCACAGGTAGGAAATAAGCAAAAGCATTCAGGAGAGAGCAGATGCCTGGACTCATTTCTGTTGAGATGTGAACCCCACCAAGTGGGGGGGACTGTTCTGTGGCCCAATCAGCCCCTCAGCGACAGTTAAAGTGTGTCTTTTCTTCAGTGTGCAAAGTCACAGCAGCAGACAAAGGCGCTAATAAACATTCAATGGCTTGTTTAGGAGAAAAACAGAGTTAGGTAGCTTGAGCTGTAAACATATAGCTGACTCCAAATGCTGTTTCTTTCAATAAAAAACACCCGTTTGTTTGCCAAAAATAGTAGCTAATTAACAGCTTAATGTACAACGCAGATGACAGTACCTTTACAACAATGTTTTAAAAGTCCAGTGGAAACACACAAATGTAATTTGGAGTTTAGAGAACCCTGAATACAACCTAATTTAACTTTTTATATGAAAATTCTGGGGGAAAAAATCCAGTACATTTACAATCTTGCAAATACTTGCAAGAAACAATACTATTTGCTGACTGATTTACAAATGAGAGATGATGTACAAACATTTAATTTCTGATTCACTCTTCCACAAAAAGTATATTGAACCCGGTACTCTACACCACAAAAAATACAGTGGTATTTCATTTGGTAAAAGACTCAAAAATGCATCACACAATCCAGGAAGCCTCTGACTCAAGCCTTAATATCTGCTTTCAAACTAGTAAAAAAAAAAGTAAAATTTAATTAAACAGGGGAGGGACTTTTGCAGTTGAATAAACTGAAAGATACATGAGAATGGATAGCAAAATATCGTAATGACAGTGGTGTATTGTGGCACTGTGGTGACAATGGCACAGAGAAACACAATCTAAGACAATACTGCAAGTGGTAGAGGTGTGTGCAAAACGTGAGAGGGCAGTACAAAGGTGGGCTGGGTGGGTGGGGGCATGGCACGAGTAAGCGAGGCATATAAGCCTGCACTCCAGGACCAGGAGTGGCAGTGTGACAGTATAAAGCTGTGTGGCACAGCCGGTACACTTTACATGTACATTTACCTGAATTTATCTATATCACAACAAAGCCACAAGCACCCTCACAATATATATACATACAAAAAATATATAAATATATACTGTATTTGTCTCAGGCATTTAAACAGCCAAACATGCATTGAATAAAGTAGAAAATACAGTGAAATAAAATATAATGGCTGTAAACAAAATGTGAAAAGTGAGACCACATTCGTAACTGGTCTAGTAACTCACAATCCTGCAATACAGTTTGGTTTGTACTTCACTCTTTCACCTTATCCTTGGAAAGTGAAATTTACTGCAGCAGGGATTTTACCATCTTCATGCAGAAGAACAGAATAAAGATTACAAAAAGAATTAGTGAAACAAACATTGGTTTTTGCACTGGGAAGCCGCCACGAGAGACGCTAGAGTTCATGAAATAGGGACAAGAGATTGTTTGGGAGGCTGATGAGAAAGGGGGCAATCATGAAAGGATGAAGGCAGACCTCAGGAAATCCAACAAATACTGTAAGAGATTTTAGCATAAAGACTCAAAATTAAGCTGATCTGTTGAGTGACAAAACGGTGACACCCTGCCCTTTTAATGCCTGGGATTGGCACACACCCCCTCGGTGTGCACTTTTCTGCAGTTAGTAAACATTGGAACCAGCAACCCATGAGCACAGTAAGCAGGCACTTGTGGGACAGACTGCGCACAGCATCGGGCTAATGGCTAATCAATGCTGTGTTAAAACAGCAGTGTGCTACACACAACATGGGCTGATCTATGATTTCATTATTTTGAAGAAAAAAGAAAAGGCTACATAAACACTAAAATAACCTCATCAACCACAGCCAATGACAAAAGCACACTTAGATACCCCAACCACAGAATTCTTGGACCAAGCCATGCAGTGACAGACACCTGTGCCCTACTGAATTTGGAATCTACATCTTTAGGCCTGACTGATCTGCTGTAACTTACATTGTCTCCTTCTTGACATAAAAGTGGAGGCTGATACCCAGTCCCCCACCACACGTTCCTCCGGAGCCTTTTGGGGAAGCTTTCTGTATGCTGTGGCTTTCTGGCAGCTGTACACCCACACACTGCTGCCACCGCCTTTCATTGGCCATCAATTACAGCTACCTGGAATTAACTGGCAGGCTAAATTAACATGAGGAATGGAAAGCCTGACAATGTGACTGGGAGAGAAGGCTAGCTCCAATCTTCTCGTAATGACAAGTTTAATCTTTTCAGATTGGAGAGGGTTATATTGCCAATTATATTGTCAAATAAACATTAAAACATCCTTTTTCTGTTTTGCTGTTGAATCGTCTGCAAGTGAATGAGTTATTTTAAAAGCACCCTTTAACTGTTTGTGAAGTCGTCACTATCTGTATTTGAAGTGTACATTCTGTAATACCATTACTGAGTATTTGGGGGGTCTTACGTTGGGAGATTCCAACATAAAGACAGAACTCCAGTCTCCACACTTAACATCTCTCATTATTCTAATAAGCAGCACCCCCTATTTACATAATGACAGGGCAACTGCTGTGAAACGAGTTGTCAACAATACATATGCACTGTGCTGTTCACACATTGAGGAAGATTGGATTTCAGGCACAGTAACAGGAGGAGACTGCTAAGATGTCCTGACCAAAAGCTTACCACCAGGATCCACCAAAAGCTTACCACCAGGATGTTTGCATGTGTTGCACAAAGCTTGATGTTCCAGGTAGGGTCCCAATGGTTTGTAAATTCAAAAGGAGCCGTAGCACAACCGAAGAGAATCCAATTGGTACCCGTGGTCAAGAACATTAGACACGTGTAGTGGTGAAGGGACACATGCTCTGGGGGATGGTGAGACTCGCATTCCAGGATGTAACTAGAGAAACAATTCAGTGAATAAGTCGGGTCCAAATATCAGGGAAACCAGTTAAACTAAGGCTCCAGTGTCTGTATTCCAGAAACCAAGGAGGAGACTCCAGTTTGACAAAATTCTGAACCCTTGGTGAGTTCACCATATTAGTGTTTGCCTGTGCACCACTGGAAAGCTCAGAGGCTTGGAGTTTTGTAATTCAAGAAAAAACAGTTCATTAGAGACCAAAATAATAATAAATGGAATATTGTTGACAATAGGAAGGAATAAATAGTACCTGACAGATCGTGAAACTACACATGATGTTTGCTGCTCTCAAATGCTCTACAGAGAACAAATCAATCGCTTTCTGCCTTGTGAAAATAGTGTTTCACTGAGCAGATATCACTGGGGCAAAGAACTCCTTCCACTACTCTACTCAAAGCACTCATGCAGGAGAAGCATGCGGTACTAGATGGTTAATGGTTTCAAATGGCACTAATACTACAGCCCAAAATATCCATATATAGTTGGTATATGACAGTGCCAGTTAAGTTTGATAAGGATTAAAGCTTCTTTTCCTATATTCCTATAATTGTCCAACTGGTCAGAAAGCCCCTACTCTGAAATCTTTAATGGATGTAGACATCCCTAGGCCAGTCTTCCTGGGTTTGGTTGCGACCTAATATAACATTGTCATCTCCCTGGTTTTGGCAGTATCTCTCCCTCTGCCGGACCTGGCCGTGCTGTTCCTGCAGTGGGGCTGGGTTCATGTTCTCCTGATCCGGCTCTGCGCCCTCATCCTCCCAGGAGCCCTGGTGGGTCTGGGGCCTCGCTGGCTGCAGGCTGCCATCCCTGCTGTAGTAGGGCTCTGGCTCCTCATAGGGGTCTGTCTCCACATCCATGCAAGAGTCGCCAGCCTCTGTGTATGCCGAGTCCCGGCTGCCCTGTGTCTCTGAGTCAAAGGTGTCCTGTCGAGACAGGCTGCGCCCCCCCTGGGGCTCGGAGCGCGAGCGCAGCTGAGTCTGCATGTGCTGGGACTGCTGCTGCAGCTGTTGCTTCCTGCTTGGCTCTCCCCGGAGCTCCTCCAGTTGTCCGTGATCCAGAAGCGCCCCGTCCTGCTCTCCACATACCAGGCACTGTCCCTGCTACCAAGGTGCCGCACAAGTCATGCGGGAAACATGCAGCACATGGATGCACAGGCAAGCGTGGTGTTAGTGACACTGTCAACACACCAATGACAGCAAAGCACAGCACCCATCTGACACTCACAATTTTATGTAAAAATCTATAGTTTCTAACCAGACCCAGAATGGTTCTCCTTCCACATACAAGGGAGAGAAAGCCAGGTGGTGCATTTCTTCTGGGGCCTAGAATATTTATTCTGACCTTGCAGTTAAATCCAGACCCTTGGCCTGAGTCAAAGATGTCATGCAACAAGAGGAAACAGCTTTGCTAGGTGTTCAACCTAGCTCTGCTGTGGGTTTATGAAAGCCTTGAGTTTATGAAAGCCATAAATTCTGAGCTACAGTTAAAGAAGTATTTTGTCTTCTATGACTACTATTCAACTAGTCAATGTGTGTGGGGCACAAATTCAGAACTGCTTCAAAAAAATGTTACTAAGTAACTGATTACAGAGAGGAACAATTTGGATAATCTCAGGACATTATAAAAGTGACATGTTTTGATATAAATCCCAACATCCTTAAATGCATGTAAAATACACAAAACTGCAATTCACATCTAGAACACATTTAATTTATTCTTTGTTATTTGTGAAATGTCTAGATAATGTCTAGCTGTGGGTTGCTACCAGTTTATCAATTGATTTTAGACATTATCCTGGGCTCACACAAGCACCGGTAAATAATTCTGTAAACAAACATCTTGCTACGCTTCTATCCTTCCCAGTGCTCATCCCATACGGGGTCACTGGGGGTATAGAGCCTATCCTGAAGAGCATAGCACACGCGTAAGGCAGGTGTACACCCTGCTTGTGACACACACAAGCACACTGTAGTGGGTCCTCTTTTGCAGTTATATCAGCTGCCACTCTTCCGGGAAGGCTTTCCATAAAATTTTGTCTCTGGGAATTTTTGCCCATTCATCCCGAAGAGAATTTGTGAGGCACTGATGTTGGACATGAACGCCTGGCTCGCAATCTCCGTTCTCGTTGATGGGATTGAGGTCAGGGCTCTGTGTGGGCCAATCAGTAAATCTCACCCAGCTATTTCTTTGTGGACCTTGCTTTGTGCACCAGGGCACAGTCTGGCTGGAACAGAAAAGGGCCTTCCCCAAACTATTCCCACAAAGTTAGAAGCATAGAATTGTTCAACATGTCTTGGTACATTATACTGAGACTTTAAGGGTTCCCTTCACTGGAACTAAGGGGCCTAAACCCTGAAAAACAACCCCATACTATTATCCCTTCTCCAACGAACTTTACCGTTAGTACAATGCAGTCAGGCAGGTAACGATCTCCTGGCATCTGCCAAACCCAGACTCATCCATCAGACTGCCAGACATAAGCACGGTTCATCACTCCACAGAACACAATTCCACTACTCCAGAGTCCAGTGGTGTCGTGCTTTATACCACTCCATCTGACGCTTGGCAATGTGCTTGATGATGTAAGGTTTGCACGCAGCTGCTCAGCCATGGAAGCACATTCCATGAAGCTCCTATCACACAGTTTTTGTGCTGGGTTAAATGCCAGAGGAAGCTTGGAACTCTGCAGTTATGGAATCAATGGAGCATTGGTGACTTTTACATACTATTTAATTACATACTATTACATACTATTAGTTAAGCTCTCCCCAAGCGAGCACGATGGGCCGAATGGCCTCCTCTCGTTTGCATAGTTCTTATGTTCTTACAGTATGTGCCTCAGGGAAGAAATTTCACAAACTGACTTATTGCAAAGGACTTTGCACCCATTCTTTCACACATGTTTGTAAGCCTGTCTGCATGGCTAGGTGCTTCATTTTATACACCTATGGCAGAGGGTGTGAATGAAACACCTGAATTCAATGATTAAGAGATGTGTTCTAATGCTTTTGTTCATATACTGCATTTATCTGCATAGTAAGTTTATAATTGCTCAGAAAAAAATATAATTTAACATTCGAACATATGCAAGTTAAGGATAATACAATAAAAGCAAACAAGAATTTCTTCTTTTCTCCAAAAAGTTATTGATATCTTGTTAGATGGCTTAAAGAACACCTCTTTGGTTCACAAACCTTTCCTCAGGGGCACCTCAACCATTTCAAGTATTCAGTTAATTAGCTAAACAACTATCTAATTAATTAATTTTGCTAAATAACTCAATGAGGTATTGATTAGCCAAACACAGTATGTTAGTGGATGAGTCAAAAAATACACCAGTTGTTGCAAATATTGGACTGACTTCAGCAGAGTTTTGAAATGCTAACCTGACACTTTGACGGACATAATATCACAACCCAACACAAAGAGCATTTAAGCATCATTTTCTTTGTCTGCCAATGACTTTGAATTAACCTGAAAGGAGGTATTGTGGATTATTGATGATGGAATATTTGTAGAGCAAGCCCTGCATTATGCAGGTCTGCATAATGTGCTAATTGGAAACAGAATGTCTGTATATATCTTATATAAGCAAACATATTTAACTGAATGCTTAAAGTTCTGCTTTTTAAATTCAATTTATCATGATTTTTGAATTTGATTTCTTAATACCAGTCCCTTCACTTGATGGTCACCAGGTTAATCCTTTGCAGATAGAAATGTTTCCTGTTATTCAATATTCATGGCTGTTTTAGAGGGCCTCCTATTTCTAGATATAATGACCTCTCCAAACAATCAAAACAATAAGCAAAGGTCACTCAGGCATTACTGGCTGTGTCTCTGTCTGTCACTGCCATGCTGCGGTCACACTGGCACTTGTGTTTGTGCTCCAGTTACTGTTCTGTGTGTGTGTGTGTGTGTGTGTGCGTGCGTGTGTGGACTGCATAAGCAGACAATGTCAGCTGCACAGTGCTGTCCCTCCACCATTCCCTCCTGCCCCCTCCCCAGCACCAGGCCTCCTACCCTTCCCGCTACAGGGTGTGCTCCCCCTCTGGAGCCTCAAGGCCCGGCCACTTGTCCAGGTTGCGGCGCAGCGAGGTGAGCACCTGTACCTGCAGGTTGGAGACGGGCTCGGGTGAGGCAGCCAGCGCAGCAGTGACCATGGTGCGGTTCAGCAGCGGGTTGGGGGGGTTGCTGCTGGGGGGATGTGTGGCCTTCCAGTAGGCCTCTAGGTATTCGGCCAAGTGCTCACAGGCCTCCTCCAGCTGGTTCTCGTCCAGAATGATGTCAAACATCTCCTACAAGATTGGTTTGGTTTGGGGGGAAGCAAAATTACCTCCTCTGCTTGGTACATACAGCACCTGTCTGGAGAAGCTCTACATGGAGGTCTATTTAAGGCTGCTATCCTACATACATCACATCCAGTCTTGCTCTGCTGGGGTTCATTCTGTTAGATAATGGAGGTGCCGCTTGTCTCTGGACTCCCGATGAGGGCCTTTTCTGCCCCAGACCGAGCCGGTAGCTCATTCACAACAAGCACGCACCCCCAGCTTTACAGACCCTCATTATTATCTCATGCTTAATTACTCACCCCTGTTAGCACCGTGCCCTTTGCCATCCAGAGCCATTAAGTTGCCTGAGTGCAATTACTCTTGCAGTCTGCACTGCGCAGACAGTCATTAATGTAGCTCTGTTGTACCTACTCTGTGTACCTGGGGCTCAGCAAAAGGATGGTACTCCTCTGATATTAACTTTTATTTCATATAGTAAACTTACATAAGAACATAAGAACTATACAAACGAGAGGAGGCCATTCGGCCCATCGAGCTCGCTTGGGGAGAACTTAACTAATAGCTCAGAGTTGTTAAA